CCAGTTGCACATCGCACACAAGGGGACATATAATCTGCCTGAGGAGCCCACAGTTGCAGCAGCATTTTCCATTACGGACAGAGGAATGCACGCGGGAGCAATCTATCATGTTGCGTAAACTTGTTCTTCCTTTAGTCTACCGACACTCGCAGAGGTCAACAACACTGAAATTCCCGCCGAGCGACTATTCTGAAGGAAACGACCGAAGCTGCTTTTAAGCGGCGTCTGGATGAGCATCCCGAATGGCTATGGAGAAAAGTCTACACCTAATTGGACATTAAACTCAGTGGTGTCAGAGCTTACACGGGTATCCTGCCCTCTGCCCTCCATACTGAAGACTGAAAGTGAACTGATTCAATGAAGTATGTTGAGAAGATAACACAGTTTTACAGTGTTTAGTCTCCAAAATATCCAATGGTAGAAGACGCCGGGCCGAGTTTGAAAGCCCCACCAATGGTTCACTGTATAAACCGACACGATGAATAAGCAAGTACACTTTGCTCAGTACATGCTGACTCATACTGAACTGTTGAGGCGTACAGAGTACAGTGGATTACTGACGAATCCAGTCAATAAGGGAGAGATCAGCCTTGGCACTAAGCCCCATCCGGACACCAGCAACACTGCGAGCATCACATACCAAGTCATCTGACACACGAGGAGTGAAGCATGAGAATGAGGTTGTTGTGACGATTGAAATAGGGTCTTGGATGCGTGACTGAGAGACACAGAACACTTCTAAACTGAAAGTTGCAAGCGTTTTAGATGAGATAGCTTGTTGATCGATCTAATTAAGTGTTCGAACAGCTAATGCAGCTAAGGGAAAAGGAGATTTCGCTTTTAACAATCTAGAAGGTTCTTGTTGGTTTGCCTTATAGACTAAATGCTGAGTGATACCCCATGACTGGCACAAGCAGGAGGCATCTCGTACGATTTGGGAGTGAGACGAAGAACTCAAGAGATGAGGAGGTTTTCCAAATTGAGGGGTGGGAATTTAGGGCGTGACGTACTTCGCGGGAGACCACACCAACGAAAGGGTTTGTCCTTGGGAGCCCTAACCGGAGTCTTCGACTCAAAGTTTCATTCACAAGACGGTGGGGCATAGATCCAATGCTGGAGCGTGACCGAAGCACCCACGTGGGAGCTTCTAGAAACTTGTCATGAAAGGCCTTTGGGGTTAGGTTCAGTGCACTGTGCGCTGTTGCGTTGATTGACGGTCTGATCTTCGGGATCAGGCTTTAGCCCGATGCACCTAGTGAGACAGGCGGACCATGAACGGGAGAGCTGCCTATTGACTGGGCGATGAAAAGCTAGTGCGAGTGGTAGCCGTCTAATGAGGAGCGAAGACTTCTCTTACTTTCGGGAGGAATTATCAGATAGCTCGCCCCTACGTCCATCTTAACAGGGTCTTTTGATAGGTAGATTGCCCTTTCACATGTTAATTTGCTGGAGCGACCTCTCCCGCTGAGAGTGTGTGGTCAAAGGAAGCTCGGTGCCCAATGAACTGGCCTTGTGAGACTGTGCTTCATCTGGCCTCTAACCATTACCGTTTCAGGAATGATTGGACCTGTGACTGTAAAAAGTCATTGTATGTGGCTTCCAGGGTCATGGAGGCACGCAAGCTATCACATTTCATAGTCTCATCTTGATGACCATTTAGATCGCGTTGGGCTTCCCGTTTAAATTTAATAATCAGCAGCACTCTGTCGACGTTCTACACATATGTTGTTTACTCACACTGTAGTACCTTTCTTTGCATTGCTCTCGGCTGTTTAATGAGTTTCAATCTTTTCTCATCAACCGGATGAGTATCCGATAATTAGTGATCAAAACAGAAACATAGAAGCGCAGGTTTGATAAGTATCTAAATTGAATATGTGAGTTGCCAATAAACCCAAGTTTTCTGATTGGAAACTGCTGTCCAAAGGTAGCAGTGCGTAAGAAATAAACTCTGTGGAAAATGAAATGTATTGGGTCTCTCAGGAGTTTTAAGTGTTTGGAACTTTGTAAGAAACTCTGAAATGGAACCATGACCACAGTATCAAGAAATCTCCAAAGCTTAGGGTGGCAGTCGTTTAAAACCGACAGGCGTACATAATTATGTACACCTATTCTCGGAATGGAAACAGAAGTATTATCTAAAAGGTAAAGCAATCGCACGCATATTTTGCTGCCGATTGAAAGCGATAATGGCGAGTGGTTCAAAATGGTCTGATAATTTATCAGTCAAACTATCTTCGCCGTATTGACATTTCTTGATACACCTAAACTCAAGATCCTCGAATAAAGCAATTCGACTCGGAAAACGTCCGGCTTCCTACCGGTGACTTACATTTCTTTGAGTACGGTGGGAACTGTGTCGGCGAAGAGAAACAGTGCGAGCAATCTTTGAACGCTTCACATCTGGCATAGCGATCCATGGGTGTTCTAGGCATTCGTGAACTGTGGGTCGTTTTCTGTGCAAAGGAAGGAAGCAGAGAGATTTGTGAAATAAACCGGTTTAAAGTCGGTACTAAGTGCAATGTAATCAGATAGCTGTGGTTTCCTTGATTATTAGTCTAGTGCATTTCCCATCTCAAACTTCTGAAAGCTTCAGCTAAATAAAGACAATCAGAAAAT